AAAAATAAAACTGTAAATTTAAACGTTTAAATTATTTGAAATCGATACGTCATATCCCAAAAATATTATTCTCTATACATTTTGTGATAGGTGATTATACTTAAAAACATTAAAAAATATGATTTTACGTAAATGCGTTTTGTTTATGTTGCGCATGGGCCAGTGAAAGAAAACAAACTGCAGTGGGCTGGCATCCTCTTAAATATATAATATTTCWWAGAAAACAGTCTTATTAGTGATCCCTGATCGTCTTGTTACGTYAGTATATTGGCTATAGACAGGTTAAGATGTCACACGAAAAGGTTGACTTATTAATACGAATGTTGTATGAAGTCGTAGTTATTTATTATTAGATTATTATACGTGTCAAAACGATTATGGTTGTGAAGTGTAAGTTGTGAAATAACATAGTTTTAAGTTCGTTTATAAAATATATATATATTTAATTTTGTTACTCAATAAGTTTTACGTCACAACTATAATATGTATGCTAACACAGCTATAAATGGACCACGGAGGAGACGTTTTTATATACATCAATAGAAGAATTAAAAGAATAAGATCTGCAGTATTGGATGGTATTATTGAATTTTTTATACATACATTACATATAGATACAAAGAAAATTGAATTAAGTAAAATAAATAATAATTCAAATAAAAAAAAATTTAATTTTGGGCATGTAATTTAAATGCAGGACATATTTGATCGCCTGTTTTAAATTTTTTGGTATGCACAAATCCATATTTTATGATTTTTTTTAGAAGTCCTTGTCCCAAAGTAATTATATTTTATTGTACCTATGTATATATATAGTACCTAAACAAGCATGTATATAGCACATTATATAGCACTACATATTTTATTGCATATTATATAGCTGCATTGCTATACATGTGGATAAAACCGAATACATTTTTGAATACTCCTGTTTCCTTGCTATTATCACCTAACTATAGATCGAGAAGTGTAAAATGTAAAATAATTATTAAAGACATAGTTTTTGAGACTAGATGAGACAGAAATATCGGTATCCGGCGATCCGCAGTCAGTCATTTTAATTTAGATTGTA